CCCAGTCCCTCATCCCAGAATCGCAGTCATTTACAATTTCAGACGAAATGCACTGGTAAACTGTTTATTACCAATGGTTCTTTCGATAATTGATCTATACAGCCATATAAAGCATGCTTGTATTTTTTTTCGTTAATCTACGTTAACAACGTCAAAACGTTTCTCATCGAGTGGAAAAGTTAAATCACCTCCTCAAAACGGTATGTGCTTATCTCTGGTCAAAAACAAAAAGATAAGTTGGTTCAAAACTTTAATTCCAATGTTAAAAGTATTGCTGTGAAAAAATCAAAATTTGTTCATGTATTTACCATAACACACCTTGATATTTTTCCGATCCTATATTTAGAAGCAGAATTTTTGGCATTCAAGATCTTTGCACGGAATCAGAACATACTGGTTAATGGGGCGATTCGACTTCAATGTTGGACAATTTGAAATCAGAAGATTTTACCAAAATCAACATTTTAAAAACTCACGACTTTTTACCTTTATACAAAACCATTCCCCACGATAAATTAAAGTCGTGGCTTTTTGATATCATTGGCAGCTGCTTTTTCAATAAAACTGGAACTCTTAAATTTACTTACCTAGTCATTGGTCATTTGCAAAATTGTTCTGTTAAAACACATTCTGATTGCACAAACAAATACTCTGAAGTTGACATCAAAGAGATGCTTGAGTTTCTGATTGACAATATCTATGTGGTTTTTGGAGACAAGGTATTCCAACAATCTATTGGAATTCCCTATGTGCCAATTGCGCTCCGTTATTAGCAGACCTATTTTTATATTCACATGAAGCAGGATTTGTGCAGAGTCTTATGCGTCAAAGGAAGGAAACACTTGCTGAAGCCTTTAACTCGACATTTGGATATTCGATGACGTATTGTAATTTAACAATAGTAATTTACATTCCTACGTCGATACGAAATATCCTGGTGAGCTTGAGATAAGGGATACTTCAGAGTCTGACACATCTGTTTCGTGCTTAGACATTTTGCTTAGAAAAAGACGTTGATGGTAATCTGGCAACCAGGCTGTGTGGTAGGCGTGATGACTTTGACTTTTCTATACGTGAAAAGAAGAAAAAAGGCTGTAGCCTTCAACTCGACATTTAGACATATCGACGACGTGTTGTCAATTAACAATAGTTATCCCGGTGAGCTTGAGATAAAGGATACCACAGACTCTGATGCATCTAATTCATATTTGGAGAGGACTATCTAAGTTTTTGGAACATGTGTCGAATCCCTTTGGCATATCAATAAAATATGTTCAAAACAATATTTGGATATTTTACTTGAAAAAAAAAGTTATTTGTTACCTAACAACCAAACTCTATGATAAACATGATGACTTGGAACTTTTCTATTGTCAATTTCCCATACTTAAGCAGTAATATACCTTCATCACCTGCATACGGCGTTTATATCTCTCAGCTAATTTGGTGGGCAAGAGTATGTTCTTCGTATTAAAAATTTCTAAAGGAGGTAAATTATTGATAAAAAAAAATGATGAAACAAGAATACCAGCAGTCTTGTTTAAAGTCATCATTTCGTAAGTTAAATGGTCGATACAATGACCTTGTCAGCAAATACAATTTATCATTTAGTCAAATGCTTTGTGACGTTATTCATATTGATTGTCAGTCCATCATTTCCAAACGGCGTTAATTCCCGTTATTTTCAGATCATGACAAAGAACACACGGCGGGTCTGATCGGTCGGCAAGGGATGCTTACTCCTCCATGGCACCTGATCTCATCTCTGATGTTTTTGAAGTCCGTGTTTGCTCTGCTCCTATTTTGCATTGTTTTATGGACTTTTAAGCTTGAATACTGATCGTTATCTTCATGCATTTCATTGTTTAAAAAGTGTTTCTTGTGAATTTGTTGCCTATATGACAGTTAAAGTTTCCGGATAAATATTTTAAGAGATATACATGTAGCAGGAGTTTTAAATATTTATTTCATAAAAAAGTTGATGTGACACATCGACAACGGAAGGTCATACTTCCATGGCACATGATCGGAACTCTGATTTTTGGTGGTCTGTATTTGCTCTGTTGCAGACTTTTGAGCTTGAATACTGTTCTTTATATCCATATATTTCATTGGTCTACTAAATCAAACTTCCAAGTTAAATTCAATTTAGATAGCTAAATACAGGGTAAGAGCACTCTACCTCTTTGCGTTTAGCTTGATTTAAAAAAAAATATTTCATATACTGATGCGTATTGGTGAGAACTATTTAACTGCATCAACATATTTTTACCTTGATCTTTCCGTTGACATTGACCTCCTTTTTCGAATAATTAGTGATTATCTTAATTTAAAAGAAACTCTTAAAATGCCATAGTATTTTATCAAATCTTACATACTAATTTTCAATAATAAAAGGTGTTCAACTGCATCGACAATTTTTTTACAGAAGTCGTTCATTTGATCTTGACCTTACATATCTTGTATGGTATTAATCTTTGTTTAAAAGAAACTTTTCAAGAAATTTTCATCAAACTTTGAATGTGTGCAATGTATTAATATTGATAAGTTTTTTTCAATGCTTCTACTTCTACATGCATATCATTAAAATATTTATGATATATATTATATTTAATTACATCGTTTTTCTTTTCATTGACCTCATCTTTCATTTGATCTATTAACTCTCTTTCCTTAAGGGGAGACCTATGTCGTTCTACGTCAAAGCAGCGTTATGTGACATCACAATAGCGACGTTTGTTTTTACTTGTTAACTTTTGCAACTGTGATGTAGACATAACATTGTTAATAATCAATAACGTACACAATTTACCAAAAAAAATATTATTCATTAATTACAGTTTTATTTGATTATGGAGTTTGTTAATATTAGAATTCTCTTCCTTTGGTTGATTACTGATAGCAATTTAAGTTGTAAAGAAATACCTCGATGATATGCTGATATTTAAGTGCAGATAAGATAAAATTCAGCAAAGAAAGCGGCTTAAATTAGGGAAATATGTTTAATTTTCTGTTTACCATTAATTGTATTTTCTGAATAAAACTAAGAAAAAATTAAGAAATGTACTTTTACATATATTTGCTTATTGATTTATAGTACATGTAGATTTTACTGTATAAAGTCATTCCTGGCTTCTAAAAGTTTGTTTGTTGACCCGGGGAAATGGGAAGGGGTGGGGGAGAAACAGAATGATTGGAATGAAGAAGAAAAGAATTAATCTATTTAAATGGTTTCAAATCAAAATAAAATACTAGTTTTTTGCAAATTAGTTTTATATTCAGATGTTTGTCAGTGCTTACGTACCTTTTTTGGTGCAGAAAGGTCAATATTTATGTCACAAGAGTACGAAAATAAAAGAAAACGTCATATTTCTCGTTTATTTCATCATAAAGGTATACTTTTTCTTTGCTAAAATAAAGAAATGAATCATTTCTTTAAAAAAATATGAATTATAACATTTTCACACAAAGACTTTTAAAGATATTACCTGTTATACATGTCGGAATTGTAAAAAAATATGACAAGAAAAACGGGGTGATACCTACATTGTGCTCCATCATAATCTTTCATGCGAGATAAATTACAATGAATTTGCAATTGCCTTCATTTTAAAGACACAAGTCATATAAATAAAATACCTTTTGATTTTGAATGTGATTTGACATTTTGGTTCTTTTTAGCGCATATTTGGGGTAGAACAATAATGTCTGAAAATAATCTCTTTTTAAAATTTCACACTGTTTTTGCACGTGTTCCTGTGTAAAAATTAGCATATAAAGGTATTGTTTTTAACACCTAAAAATTGAGAGCAAGTGGTCAGGAAAGAAATGTCAAAGTTTTGAAAATTTCACACAAAGACTTTTCGGACATAGGTCCCCCCTTAATATCCTTTTTGTAGCTCAGGGAAATTCTTCTAAATTTGTTTCATGCAAACTAACGTACTAATGTACTTATGCATTATAATTTGAGAATTTATATCAACTCTTTTAATGTTCGTTTCGTTCTTACCTTGACCTTACTTTTCATTGGGTATTAAACTCAGTTTAAAAGAAACTTTGCAAGGTACTATATTCATCAAACTCCCTACTCTTATACAATGTCATATTTTAGAGTTGTATTACTAATGAATCATGGTCGGTGTATTCAGGTCCTACGGACTTTTCTATTTTTATATTTACATCCATTGAATATCCTTTATTTCTAAAGAAAAATCTGTCGTTTATCAGTCAGTAAACAACACTTAGCATATCACTTCCACAGATTTCCTAGTCAGTCGTTCTTCTATCAATGAAATTTCCGATGACGTACATACATGTACAGAAATAAACATAAACAATTTCTTTTGTAAGTATGGAAATTAACGTTGCAGCTATTGTAAAATTAACGTATAACTTGGTAGATATACAGTACCGGCCGGGAGATAAGGGCACTTTGAGGCTTATTTTCATTTTAAGGCTGTATTTTCTTTCTCGTTACGGTATTGTCGACCCATCTTAGATCATTGACAATATTTGTCGAAAAAAAAGACTCAATATACACAATCATGAATTAAGGTTTTCGAGTTTGGGTAATTACAGTATTTTTCTTTCTATTATCATTTTGTTTTCAAGTATTTTTCATTTGATTGTCATTGTTTTCTTTCTGGCTGACCTATCAGCTAGAAAAATGATATTTCCATCAGATTTTCTGTTTTGAAATGTGTATATTTGTTTGTAATTTACGTCGTTAAAAGACATCGTTAAAAGATATGCTTCTCCGATTGCTACTCCAAAGCAGAATGTTAAACTAGATGAAAACGTTTACATTACAATTTTAGTTAATTCAAATACACGATTGTGCAAGTTCATGTAGTTCACCTTGCATGTATTATCAATTGGATCATCATACGTCGTTAGTTTCGCACAGCTACCAAATGAGGCCCTTATATATAACAATTCAAATAAGAAATGACTTGAGATAATTGTAAAATCGTAAAAAATATATATTTTTTTTACTCCGGTAAAAGGTACTAAAATTGACACTATGGTTAAGATTAATAAGTACATATATGTAATATTCATTATCAAGAGTTGAATTTTCAAGACACACTATGAGATTTTAAAAACATTAGTTGGAACTGATTGAGAATAAACAGGAATGAAATCTCCTCAAAGTTTTGCTATAATTCGTCATGAATTGCATTAGATCGTCCTTTTTCAATGACTTTCCTTAATAAATCTGTGGCATCGGGTTTAAGATTTTCTCCTTCTGTTACGGGAGTGTCCAGAATAGCATATTTTTTGGTGACAGTGTCAAAGCTGGACCATTTTGGAAGGCCTTCTGAGTTTGGATCACTAGAATTAAAAAAAGATATGGATTAAAAATTATTTAAATATCCTTGAAACAATTTGGAATTTCCAATAAAATTGAAACAATAAAAAGAAATTTGAAAAAAAAAGAAAAAAAAATGTAGGCTAAGGCATAAACTTCTATTACAGTCAAAAGCATGCAAAACTTTCTTTTTCGGGAGCTTCGAAAAATTGGTACCTACCCATACTTTGCGAAATTAGTCCAATACTTAACGACGTCTTTAGACAGCTTCTCTACGGACGCTAAGTCTTGTTTTTTCAGTGTCTCCTCTGGGACATGATCTGAGGTCACGTTAAACATTAAATGCAGTTCTTCGCCATGTCCAGCCCCACTATACCATTCTGGTAATTCTGGGATGAACGGAAAAGGAGATGGTTTTGTGACTAAGTATTGGTATGTTTTAGCTTTATCATTGTTTTTTGCATGGATTTCTAGCATAATGTTGCTGGGTACGATGAACGATGAATCGCCATTGAAGTCGGTCACTCTCATACTCTGCTCATTAACACCCTCAGAAGTAGTGTAAAACTCGCATATTTCCTTTGTTAGTTCCGGAATATTACCTGTAGCTGTATTAACAAACGTTGGTGCTAACATTTCACATAAAACGCTTACTGGAACCCGTTCTGATACATTAAAATTGAAGTGATTTTGAGTCTCTTCGGATAATATTAGAGGCAGAGAATTTCCTTCTGCATCCAGAGTACCTGATATGTAATCGATACTTCGGAAAAAGCGATAAATCTCGTCGTCCCAAGACTTTGGATAAGCCAAATTTTCTTTGATCAATTCACCATCAACTGTTGGAACCAAACTTCCAAATTCAAAACTTATATTAAAAGATTTTTCAAATTCCATCATAGGTACTGCTGCTGTCAAATTTTCTGCCGATACTCCTCGCAGACATTCCAGGGTTTCTGCTATACCGCCTTTGTCTGTACAATTCGTATTTTTAAGCAAAACGTCATTAGTTTCTTTTTCTTCCCTTCTCCTTGAAATACAAAAGAACGAAACTACCCCACTTTGGGAAATTGCTCTTTGAAAAAGTCCTTCATTTGATGGAATCAATGTCTGAAGACTCACACTCATGCCTCCTGCTGATTCTCCAAATATAGTAACTGATTTTGGATTGCCTCCGAAGGCTGCAATATTATTTTGAACCCATTTTAAAGCCTCGATCTGATCCCACAGCCCATAATTTCCTGGTGCAAGAGGGTCATGTAATGTTAGAAACCCAAGGAGACCTAATCTATAACTAATGGCAACAACGATTACATCTCCTCCTAGCACTAGCTTCTGAGGTTTGTACTGACTTGCTCCACCAATCATAAACCCTCCGCCATGAATCCATACCATAACAGACAGATTTCTTTCTTTAGAAATTTTTCCTGGTACATATATATTGAGGTATAAGCAATCCTCGTCATTTTCTAATGAATCAAAACCTGGTAATGGGAACATTACTTGAGTACACTGTGGAGCATTTACAGCACTAATTCCCTTGACTCCTTTCCATTCGCCAATGGGTTTGGTTTTCTGAAAACGTAGATCTCCTAATGGAGGCTGTGCAAATGGAATTTTTACAAATCTATACAGCTGCCCCTCGTCATGGATTTCTTCGTATCCTCTGACCCAGCCAGAAGGGGTCTTGACCTCTACAACATTAATCACATCCGATCCAAACGCAAATATTATCAAATATGAACCGACACAGAGTAATGGGAGATGATTCATTTTGTTGTAGAATGTCTGAAATATAATATAATATAATATATATAATATATTTTTATGAGATTTAATTTGCTTTCCAATTTATTTCTGTATTCTTGTTAGAAAGGGTTTATACGTAATCAGCAGACGTAGTTAGCTCAGTCAGGGAAAGTTTGTACAATTTCATTAGGAATTTTGGAATTTCTTGATTTGTTTGATAGTATTGAGAGTGTTCTTGAAAATTATGTCTAAATGTGACGTGTGTTGCATGTTTTCACTTGTATATTTTCACGATATCCCCGCTTGAAAAGCAGTGGGAGGGCTTTATAATGATGGGAGTGTCCATCCATTTTTCCTCTAATACAAGTACCAATCAATCTTTTAATACATACGAGTACAGTGCCATCGTGCACCTCCTATTTTACATTATTTCTGGATTTCCCAAAGCAAAACATGGGCACTGTCACGTATTCTTTCTATAATATTGAGGAATATCCATCGTTTATTTGCAACTTATCCTTTATCAATGAATGATAATTCAATGATACTATTTAATGATGCTATTGTGCATCTCTATTTAAATGTTTGATTTGACTCTCAGTTTGGGTTTCCTAAAACAAATCAAGGGCACAAGTATTCTTTATATAATATTGAGGGTAATTGGGTATCCATCTCTTATTTGCAACTTCTCCTATACCACTTAATAAAATTTAATGAGACTTTCACATATTATTTTTCTACATGGTGCTACTGTACACATACTGTTTTACTTTTTGATCTGTCAGTTGCATGTATTTCTGGTCTTTCATACTAAAACATGGACTTTGTCAATATAATCATATGGGAGGCGGGATAACATTTTGTGAGCTAGGTACTAAGTTTAGAATAAAATAAATATGAGTGTTTTATATCCCACTGAATCAAAGTGTTATTTTTTTTCATTAATTTTCTTTACTGAAAACCACTGCATGACAAGCACGACATACAGTTAGAGTTATCCAAGAAACTACAGCAAATTACTTTCCTTCTGTTATCAATCCAAATACTTAATAATTTCTTGTTCCAAGATGAAATAATTTATAATTTAGTTTTCCCAGTTCTGAAGAAGTCCTTAAATATATAATATTAAACACCCTTATTAAAATATGGGAGGGGTGGGCATGCAAATATCAACTGTGTGAATTTGGAATTTATTACACCCCCAAACCCCCACCCCACCCCCCGAAAAAAAGCACACCATGTTTTTGTCCCCAGCTTTCGGGAAAGCAAGGGGACATTAAATCTCATTCGTCTGTCTGTCAGTCCGTCTGTCTGTCTAGCTGTCAGTCCGTCACAAAAACTTTAACCTTGCCCATAACCTTTGATTTAGAGGAGCTATGACTTTTGAATTTCACATGTGTATTCCTTATGACAAGACCTTTCTTTGGGTACCACCAAATTTAACCTTTGACCATGACCTTAGAGTTTGACCCAATTTTACACAAAAAACTCATACTTTTACTTTGGCCGTCACTTTTGAACAGTAGATACTAGGACTTTTATATTTTACATATATGTATTTTTTGTGGCAAGACCTTTCATTGGGTATCAAGAACTTTGACCTTTTGACCTTGACCTGGGAGATTTTCGTACTTATGAAAAAAGTTTAACCTTGGCCATAACTTTAGAACGGTGAGGGCTAGGGCTTTCGTACTAGAACTTCACATATTTAAATATCTTATGACAAGACCTTTCATTAGATAACAATATATTTGACCTTCTGACCTTGACCTTCGAGTTTAACCTTCTTTAAAAAAACCTTGACCATAACTTTTGAAGGGTTAGGGCTTTCATACTTCACATATTTATTCCTTGTGACAAGACCCTTTATTAGATATCAACAAATTTGACTTTGACCTTGGAGTTTGACCTACCTATTAAAAACTTTAACCTTGGCCAAAAATTTTAATGGTAAGAGCAAGACCTTTCACACTTCACATATGCGCATGTAATCCTTGTGAGAAGACCTTTCATTGGATTCCAAGAACTTCGCCCTTTGACCTTGACCTTGGAGTTTGACCCACTTTTTAAAATTTGGGTACCAATATATTTTATTTGCATTTAAGAAAAGTTTGATCTTCGCTTTGTTGCCAAACGGGGTCATCAGTGTTTCACAAACGCATCTTGTTTCTTTTAACTTTTGATTTAAAAGAGATAGGGCTTTCATATTTGACATGTGCATTACCTATCACAAGATATTTCCGAGCATGCTATGATTTCTGCCTCCTTGACCTTGGCCCTCGCGATTGACCTTATTTTTTTTAAAAATTCAACTTTGGTGATAATTTCTAAATGACATATATATGGCATTCATATTTGACATCTCACCCACAAAGACACCGAAAGCGGGGGACCACAATTCTTTGAATTTGCTTGTTATGTTTACACGTAATGTCTTTTCCTATTATCGAGTAGGTAGTAGTTACCCCATATCATACTGTTGGTTATGTGTAGATACCCGATGGGCGTGGTCATAATGACACGAGGGAGCGTAGCTCCCGAGTTGTCATTATGACGACGCCCATCGGGTATCTACACATAATCAACAGTGTGATATGGGGTAAATGACTTGTACCATAGTTTTCAAAAATCATTCATATGTAAGTCAGCTTAGGAATCGGTCGGACTGGTTCGCGTGATTGAAGCATTAAGTGTTTGGTTTCAAAGATGCATTTGGATTTTATATGATTTTTCGCTCTCCTTCGTGTCCTTCTGACCACGTCCATCGAATATACGGTAAGTGATTTGTATACAATACTTTTCAAATTTTGCTACAAATTTTGCCCTATACTCGGCACTCAGGGTCATTGAGCAGTGAGAGATCTTCTTCCTGTCAACACCTTCTGCGACACGGGACCTCTGTTTATACTTTATAGGTCTCCACGTCCCACAGTGGGATTCAACTCCTTATTTCGTGATTCTAGGGTAGGCGCTTTAACCGCTGGGCCACGCAGGCGACATAATTAAACATATCTAGGCCAGTTTAAAAAGTTTGATTTATGTAATTGGAAAAAATAACGAGTTTGGTTTCAATGATATATATGTTAGTTTGATATGATTTTTTTCTCGTAAATTACAATCGTCAAAATTACATACTAATAATCTAAATCTATTATGAACTAGGTTTAACTTAAATTTTTGTAAACCTGATACAAACTTTGACGTGCACAGTGGTACATTGATTGAAATGTTTGTTAGAGGCTATGTACATGTATATTTCACAATTTAATGAAAATTACATCTTTGATCGGCTAGATCCGCAACCGAAAAGGTTATCTAAGTACAGTAGTGTGCACTTGTTTTTTTGTCAAGTATGTACCATGTTTCCTTTGTTGGTTATCAAAAGAACGATATATTGCAATCTACTAAGCCAACGTCACCCTGGTCATTACACTATTTAAAAAAAAAAGTTTAAAAAATCAAGCGATTTCTGAAGGTTTTTTTTCTTCACTTTTAACTAAAGTTAACGTACTAATGGCCGTTTTTAACTGTTATTTATTACAAAATGCTGTATACAGTTGAAAATGTTTACTCCTTTTTACTCTCCTAAATTTGGTATCACATGCCCGTATGATTGTTTCATTTAAAAACCGTGCATGATCGTTTTATAAATAGTTCTTTTGTCCCGACTCGATGGGCGGAGTTATAGAAAAGTGTCGGTTATGTACAGAAAACCCACACTTTTAACAAAAGAAATCACACCTAACTATGGTACAAGTATTATTTAGAGAACGAGACAGGTTCTGTATCGTAGATACAAATTTGGGGGCAGACGAGTGCGAAAGCAAGTCTCCGCCCCTAAATTTGTATCTACGATACAGAACCTATATATTCTCTAAATGATTTGTGACACGATCAATCAAAATAGCTCCGCCCACTTTATAACTTTGCAGCGTCCAAACTTCCGCCAGAGTTCTGTAGATGAGGCCCCGACGGGGAGTACGCATCCGCAGTATATATATTTCCACGGAAAACGTAAAATTCGGTCAGATTTGCTTTGACAATTTAACGGGGTAGACGTAATCGAGTGATAGTCAGTCTTAATGGATAAATTGGAGGATTTAACCGTAATTGTTGGGATCTATTGTTATAATTGTAGATGGAGATTTATCATAATTTATTTCAGGGATCTTAAAATCCCGGTTTAACTAGATTTACAAAAACAGGATTTACAGAAAATTCTTCGATGGACTTTGATGTCACGGATTTTTATTTTCAAATTGAATTGCGACATTAATATGAAGTGAAAGAGACGTGTGGCTGTCGTCAGCGAGAAGGATTTTTTCCGTGATAGCGAATTTTCCGTTTCGTGTGGATTGTTCAAAATTAGGTACAGAGGATGTTTTCCGTTATTGCGATTTTTCTTTTTACTTTCGATCGAAATTACGTGTAGATTCTGTGTGGAATAAGTTTTTAAAAAGTGATTTAGAAATTTTGACATTCTACATTCTCAGGAAAATACCGGGTATTTCTTAAAAATTAATAATAGGAAAACATCAGTATTTATTATGTGTACGTGCTAGCTTTGCTAAATTGAATCAGATTTATTTTTAGACCGTGCTGTATTTTAGATACAGAATAGTTGGCAAATGCAATACTGTAAACAAGGCTAATGCAGAACGGAAAGTAGATCCGCCCACCACAGTCCCGTTCTGTATTGCTAATACAGAACAGTAAACTTCAAAGAAAAACACCGCTATCGTGTCACAACGTACGATATTGAGGCAGCATTTGCAAATACACTTAAAATCGAATATTGCTGGGAAAAAAATCATATAATCAATCGTGAAATAGAGATAAAAAGGAATGCATAGGAAATAAATTCGTATCTGGGGTTCAGACCTGTCGTGTAGTTAAGCTCCTTACTTCCCTAACCAAACTCAGCAAATATTGATTGAGCGTATTTCTCAATCATGTCAATACAGAAAAAAAATCTTGGAAGGTTTACATTAGTCCACATACACAGGTATTTGATTAAGGCTGAAATTTCCTAAACGATTCAATTTCAAACATCAAAAATTGCTGAAAGGTAAATATAAACACAGTCAGAAATTAAAGATAACTGTACCACATAGGAAATAAATTCGTATATATAGGAAAAGAGTGTACTTGCACAGAGGCACAGACATTCTCTGGATAGACCTCATAAAATATTGAACAAGCGTTTTTATCAAAAGGAACCAAATAAGTCTATGTTGATTTCAATTAATCTATATATAGCTTGTTAACTCTAGAGACACTGACCTGTTCCACTGCTGATAATGCTGTTACGTCGTGCACCCCTAAGTCTGCTCGAGAGAATAGCTGAGTATGTCGTCTGTGTGATACTAACTCGTATTAGTGCACTAGATTTTCACCTGATCGTATATATGAGAGTGACAATTTAAAGGGTTTGACCGACCTGCCTTATTTGCTTAAAACCCGACTACAGAAAGCCGGACATGTAGTTATTTTATTTTGTCATTCATTCCCAACTCAGACGATATAAATTGATAGATCTTAAAATATAACAAGAAACAAATCTAAATATTCATCAATAGAGAACGAATGGGGGGGGGTGAGGGATGCCATAATTCAATCCTGTCCACCTCTTTTTTACATAGTTATGACTTTGCAAAAAGGGGGGATGGGGGATGTGAAGTAGTTTGACTAGACTTAATTTCCCCCTCAGTAAGATTACTGCAGTTCGTAATTAGTTCGTATTTTTTTTTACTATTTCTGTTGATAAATTTGATACCAGTTATTGATTAATTTATTGAATAATTCATAATTATTATTTAAAATTTATATAACATGATAGACAGATAAAGTTTAACAAACGTCTAGATCTGCACCACATACTTGTATAAGTAAACTGTGTATTTCACTTCAAAAACAAGAAAAAAATTAATTAATCAATAATGATTTTTTTAACCAAAAAAAATTATCAATTAATTATGAATTATTCAATAATTGTATACAATGTTCTGATCAACATATACCGCCAGTGTGTCAAGACAGTTTATGATAACTAATAATCATGTTGTAAATTTTACACTTAAAATCTCGTTTGTATGTAGATTGTGGATCTATTATTATATACTGTGGTTTCATTAGTATATGCTGTGGTTTCATAATTACATGTTTATGCTGTGGTTCTTTTATTACATGCTGTGGTGTCATTATTATATGCTGTGTGTTCATAATTATATGCTGTGGGTGTATTATTTAAGGAATGAAGCTTATTTCAACTTATGTTTATATAATAGTGTTGCATTATGCATGTACTATGCCTAAATAGTAGGCAGGGTTTGACACATGGTGCACGAGCCGGAGGCGAGTGCACTATGTGTCAAACCCTGCCTACTATTTAGGCATAGTATTTTATAATGCAACACTATTGTTATTATTATGCTGACTGTTGTAATTATTTATGCGGCAATCCATTTGACTTTTTTCTGAAAACATCGGTGCTAACACAGCGCACCTGCAAGAACTGATTCAAAATCTTCATGCTAAAATTGGTTGCATGCTAAGTTATTTTGATTACTAGTATTTTCTCTAAATAAGTCGGGATTTTCTGTCCCAAAGCAACTCATCTTTATTTTCCGTTGTGTTAGTAAGACTGATTTGTTTGCAGACGTCGATTCTCATTGATATTTTTCTTTTGCATCCTTCAATCAAGCGCTATATAAAAAAGCGTTTTAATGACCCCATATATCAGTTCATCTAACGATCTGTATGTAATTAGTTTGAAACTTTGTTGTATACATTTATCTAAGGTTCCTTAGAATAATATAACTGTTTTTAAATAATATTTGTCTATTTTCTCCTTCTTGTGTAAATTGTATAAATTAAGTTTATATATGTAATAAAATCCCGCCAATCAGTGATCGTCTCTGTGGCGTAATCGATAAGGCATCGGACTGGCAACCGCATGGTCGTGAGTTCGATTCCCGGCGTGTGCATGGAAGAATTTTATTCAGTAAATAAAGCCGTGCACTATTTCGGCATAGTATACTTACGCTATATAAATCCTTAAACCACTATGCGAGAATAGTAGGGTATGGGTTATTTAAACAATAAAATGCTTTCTTTGTTTGTTGTTACTGGAATGAACGGAAGCAGCTGTTGCAGAAAAAATACATAACCCGCGTAAGCGGGTTATGTAAATTTTTTCTGCAATAGCTGCGACCGTTATTTATTGTTTATATTTAAATCTGTTTAAATAATCAATTAAAGTAGGATTAAAAAGATTAATTATTGTATTAATGATGCGATTGTCTTTATATGTTTCATTGATGGAACAGCCACTGATTAAGAAATATGTACAGGCGACCTGCCTACTGTAGTTTATGCAGTGATGAACGCAATGGGGTTTCTTAAGAAATAAAGGAGAAAATATTCAGTGGATGTAAATATATAGAGACAAACTGACAGGAAGCATAATAATATCCGATATAACATAACTTGGGGCAGTTTACGCTTTATAAACCGCGAAGCGGTTTATAAGAAAGCGTAAACTGCCCCAAGTTTTGTTATATCGGATAACATACAGTTGTGTGCCAAAAGTGAAGATAATTTTATTTTTTCTTTATATATTTCAATGAAAACAATATTTTGTAAAATCGCTGGTATGACAACATTTCTTGACAGATTTTATCAAAAATTTCTTGATAATCCAAGAAATTGTTGTAGTTAAAAAAAACAATAGTTTTTATCTGATAAGCATCGATAATTTAAAAATATTGTAATATAAGTGTGACATGAATTTTTAAGTCATATACTCACAATGAATTATATAGTCAACATTGATCTTGAATTTTAGAACTAATGTTTAGTGATGAACTATATTTTACTACATATTAAACGTGTAATGATCTTTTTAAAAAAGATAACTACACATTTTCTGGTTTAAGTACTGAAATAAATAATTAAATTGGACAAAAATTGACTATTTACCTATGATTTTACAAAATGTTGTTTTCAATGAAATATATAGAGAAAAAATAAAATTATCTTCACTTTTGGCACGCCACTGTAAGTTGAAATAAGCTTCATTCCTTATAATTTAATTTCAGGGTAGAGAATAGGACAATATTTCCTCCGGAAAAAGGTTTAAAATTGAGCGTTATTTTAAAATTAACGTCAAGCGGAGTAATACGTTTTTGACGTAACTCATTGTGACGTAGGCAAGTTATGTCATACAAAATGGATAATATTAGTTATCCAGGTTCAATCAAGGGTGTACGGGGATTTACCCCGGGTTTTATTCCATACACCCTGACTATCTACGATACAGAACCTGTCGAGTTCTCTAAATGATTTGTGACACGATCAATCAAAAATAGCTCCGCCCACTTTATAACTTTGCAGCGTCCAAACTTCCGCCAGAGTTCTGTAGATGAGGCCCCGACGGGGAGTACGCATCCGCAGTATATATATATTTCCACGGAAAACGTAAAATTCGGTCAGATTTGTTTTGACAATTTAACGGGGTAGACGTAATCGAGTGATAGTCAGTCTTAATGGATAAATTGGAGGATTTAACCGTAATTGTTGGGATCTATTGTTATAATTGTAGATGGAGATTTATCATAATTTATTTCAGGGATCTTAAAATCCCGGTTTAACTAGATTTACAAAAACAGGATTTACAGAAAATTCTTCGATGGACTTTGATGTCACGGATTTTTATTTTCAAATTGAATTGCGACATTAATATGAAGTGAAAGAGACGTGTGGCTGTCGTCAGCGAGAAGGATTTTTTCCGTGATAGCGAATTTTCCGTTTGGTGTGGATTGTTCAAAATTAGGTACAGAGGATGTTTTCCGTTATTGCGATTTTTCTTTTTACTTTCGATCGAAATTACGTGTAGATTCTGTGTGGAATGAGTTTTTAAAAAGTGATTTAGAAATTTTGACATTCTACATTCTCAGGAAAATACCGGGTATTTCTTAAAAATTAATAATAGGAAAACATCAGTATTTATTATGTGTACGTGCTAGCTTTGCTAAATTGAATCAGATTTATTTTTAGACCGTGCTGTATTTTAGATACAGAATAGTTGGCAAATGCAATACTGTAAACAAGGCTAATGCAGAACGGAAAGTAGATCCGCCCACCACAGTCCCGTTCTGTATTGCTAATACAGAACAGTAAACTTCAAAGAAAAACACCGCTATCGTGTCACAACGTACGATATTGAGGCAGCATTTGCAAATACACTTAAAATCGAATATTGCTGGGAAAAAAATCGTATAATCAATTGTGAAATAGAGATAAAAAGGAATGCATAGGAAATAAATTCGTATCTGGGGTTCAGACCTGTCGTGTAGTTAAGCTCCTTACTTCCCTAACCAAACTCAGCAAATATTGATTGAGCGTATTTCTCAATCATGTCAATACAGAAAAAAAATCTTGGAAGGTTTACATTAGTCCACATACACAGGTATTTGATTAAGGCTGAAATTTCCTAAACGATTCAATTTCAAACATCAAAAATTGCTGAAAGGTAAATATAAACACAGTCAGAAATTAAAGATAACTGTACCACATAGGAAATAAATTCGTATATATAGGAAAAGAGTGTACTTGCACAGAGGCACAGACATTCTCTGGATAGACCTCATAAAATATTGAACAAGCGTTTTTATCAAAAGGAACCAAATAAGTCTATGTTGATTTCAATTAATCTATATATAGCTTATTAACTCTAGAGACACTGACCTGTTCCACTGCTGATAATGCTGTTACGTCGTGCACCCCTATAGTCTGCTCGAGAGAATAGCTGATATGTCGTCTGTATGATACTAACTCGTATCAGTGCACTAGATTTTCACCTGATCGTATATATGAGAGTGACAATTTAAAGGGTTTGACCTACCTGCCTTATTTGCTGAAAACCCGACTACAGAAAAACGGTCATGTAGTTACTTTATTTGGTCATTCATTCCCAACTCAGACGATATTAATTGATAGATCTTAAAATATAACAAGAAACAAATCTAAATATTCATCAATAGAGAACGAATGGGAGGGTGAGGGATGCCATAATTCAATCCTGTCCACCTCTTTTTACATAGTTATGACTTTGCAAAAAGGGGGGATGGGGGATGTGAAGTAGTTTGACTAGACTTAATTTCCCCCTCAGTAAGATTACTGCAGTTCGTAATTAGTTCGTATTTTTATTACTATTTCTATTGATAAATTTGATACCAATTATTGATTAATTTATGGAATAATTCATAATTATTATTTAAAATTTATATAACATGATAGACAGATAAAGTTTAACAAACGTCTAGATCTGCACCACATACTTGTATAAGTAAACTGTGTATTTC